CGGAGCTGCGGGCAGAGCCAGCGGGCGGGGGGCCGGGCGGCCTGCGGGCACCGGCTCCCTCCCGCCCGCCTCCCGCTGCCCGCTGGCCGCCCGGCCCTGAGGACGGGCGGAGGCGGCGAGCCTCGTACTTTGTTCCTCCGTCCTCCGGTCAGGCTGGGTCCCAAAGTGTCAGGGGGTCTATAAATTTTACTCAGCCACCTCGATCGCTCGAAGCGCTACTTTTATAGCTGTAAAGAAAACCCAAAAACCAAAAAAACCCCAAACCCTCAGTAACAGATTAAAGTCCCCCTAATATGAACCCGCATGGAATATTTCTGTTAACAACTCAAGGCAAGTGCAGATATTGACAATGTACTTAAGCCCATTAGCTAGGAGCTTTTCCCCACTTCATCACGCTTTTCTAGCGTGAAACGAATTTTTAGAGATTGCTGCCACTAAAAGCAATTCAGTATTTTTAAAAGATGTCCGGTAAGGAAAACACCAATAACGCAGACGGGCACATTTAAAAAAAAAAAATTGAAAAGAGTCGGGAAGGGCGGAATAAAATTGTGACCGGGAAGGAGCTGGCCAAGGACGAGACACTATTAATGCGGTGAAAACAGAGAAAACCAAGCGCGCCCATCCGCAGATGAGCGTACCCAACACCGTGCTCTGCGCACGCTAGCGAGCGTGCAAGCAGCCCCCCCCCCCCCGCACCTCCATCCCTCAGCTGAACGGCAGCATGTCAGAACTTCAGAAGGTGGATTAATAGAGCTAGGGGGCTGAAAATTCATTACATGTTGCACAATGGGATGGATCAAAGACATAAGGAAGGTTTTTATAGCCAACTTTATAACCCATAAAAATCGGGGGGGTTTCCTACTCGTGTTTGCCTTTAACTTAGGTGTTATCAATCTATAGAGCAGATGACGGATGACCTTGTCAAAATGACGCCAGTCAAAACATTTTTTGCCCCAGCACTGTTCAAATTCGTGTTAAAATGTCCTGCCTTAGACACAGACAAAGTCTAAACAGCAGCAGCTTTCCCAGGCTCTGCGAGAATGAAGGGTGGGAAAGAAATAAACTACAAACAGGGCAGGAGGAACGGCAAAAACAGTTTACACGCAGACACGTTATGTTTGTAAGCAAGTGTGCGTTTAGTGGCAGCGTGACACCTGACAATGGGGGCTTTTCTGACACCAGAGAAATGTTTTGGTGGCATAAACACTTTGCGTTAAGTATTTTGTCTTAAACGCATGAGGTACTACGTACACGCGATATACCTAAGAGATTATAGTTCTCGTCTATTTTTTCATACGGTGTAGGAAAGAAACTGGAAAAAAAAAACCCACCAAACCCCACCGGTGTTAAATACTCACTGATACGTGAGCTCAATAGCTGAGCAGCGGGGCAGAAAACGCCAATTTTTAAGCAAAGTGGAGAGAAAAAGTCGCTAGAGATGAGAAGTTTCCCGCCACAGGTTGCATCTCCGCCTGCATACTGCTCGCTCTGTGCTGCAGCCGAGCACAGAGAGCAGGAGAGAGACGTGCTGGTGCTCGAGGGGACAAGGTCCGAGGAGGGAGAAGTTCTAGGGAGGTGAGTTCCCTCACCTGCGCTGGGACCTCCTGGGGCAGGTCTCGGGTAGCCGAGGGGAACGGGAGGCAGGTCATCCCGGGAGACACGTTAAGTAGGTGGGACCGTATCAGGACAGCGAAACAGGCCAGGAAGGTCTCTCACATCCACCTAGCCCCCGAGGGGCGAAAGGCAAGTGAGGCAAGGCCGTGGCTCCCGGGAGCCTGGCAGGGTGCGAGGCGCTGGCTGGCT